GTGGAGATCACAGAACCACTGTGTGAAGCTGACTTTCTCCTTCCGCCTTTACAAGGGCCCCTGGGCAAACATAGGTCGTCTGGCTGGGAAGACAAGCACCTTTACCCATTGAGCCAAGTCTCTGGACTTTTTTTGTTTGTTTGTTTTTTCGAGACAGGGTTTCTCTGTGTAGCCCTGGCTGTCCTGGAACTCACTCTGTAGACCAGGCTGGCCTCGAACTCAGAAATCCACCTGCCTCTGCCTCCCAAGTGCTGGGATTAAAGGCGTGTGCCACCACTGCCTGACGTCTCTGGACTTTTTAATTTTGTTTTTCAATGGTTCCTATCTTTCCTGGATTCTCCAGGATAGTTTGAATACATTTTTGTGATACAGATGTGTCACCTTTTTGTGGGTTTTGCTGTTTCAAAGAAATCTTGTGTTTTCCCCCTGGAGTCCAAGAGAAATTAGTACCCGACTGCTCAGTTTAAACTCTAAGCCAGACACCGGCTTCCATTGTTAAAGGGCATCTTGTCTTTGAGCTTGACATTCATCAGACCCATGCTATGGTAAAGGAGCTGAATTGAGGGGAGGGGTAACACTGCCCAAGGACTTAGCTCCAGTGAGGGTAGGGGGCTTCTACCCTTCCCTGTCTTGTTCAAGATAGAGCCACGACTTTCTTAGTCTGGTGACCTAGGAGACCCAGGCTTCACACCTTGGAGAATTTAGGCAGCTCTGCTCCCAGATTTGCTTGCAGGCTCTGAGAGAGGATTGGGGGTCCTGGGGCTTCAGGTTGGCCACACCCAGTAGTAGTCTTGGTTCCAAAGATCCAGAGGTTGGCTTGTGAACAGCACAGCTGGGATCCTTGAGGCCTTGGGCCAGTATGTGTCTTCCTTGTTTATATTAATACTACCTGGGGAGATGTCTTGTTTTTATTCTGTTTGTAGTTTTGAGACCTGGTTTCACTGTGTAGACCTGGCTGTCCTGGAACTCCCTGTGTAGGCCAGGCTAGTCTTGAACTCACAGAGATCCACCTGCATCCCTGATTGAGTGCTGGGATTAATAGCCTGGCACCATGAAGCCCAGACTGCGATATCTTTCTTTTGGGACATTTAGACATATCACTGAAGACGTATGGGACATGGTACTGGACATGAACTGCATCCTGTCCTGCCTAAGTCTCCTCCTTTGGTGCTCCAGCACCAAGGCACCAGGCAGAGCTGCTGGGGGCCGTGGGAAGCTCCCGGCCTGGGCTTTGTGAGTTTTGCTTGGGGACCTCCCACATCCTGGCCATCTCAGCAACCTACCCCTCCCATGCTAGGCTTAGCGATTCCTGGGAACTTCTGGACAGCTTTTGTCTTTTTCCCTCTTTGCTAACTCCAGGATGTTCCTAGGACTCTCAGCAATGAGGACCAGTGAGGACTGGCTTCATCTGGGGCAATTGTGGGCCTAGAATCTCTCACTTCTCAGAGCTCCACTTTCCACAAAGGCTTAAATCTAAGAACATTGTAAGAGGACAGGCAAAGCAAGTGGTTCATGGGGCCAGTGCAAAATCAGACTGGTTCCACGCTAGCTCTGCTTTCAAAAGCTATATGAACTGGGTATGTAGTCCCAGCTGCCAGAGAGGCTGAGCACTTCAGGATCAGGCTGAGCAACTTCATGAGGCTATCTCTCTCTCTTTTTAATTTCCCCCTTCCCTTTTCCCGCTCGCTCTAGCCCAAAGGCTTATTTTTACTTATTATATGTAAGTATACAGTAGCTGTCTTCAGACACCCCATAAGAGGACATAGGATCTCATTACAGATGGTTGTGAGCCACCATGTGGTTGCTGGGAATTGAACTCAGGACCTCCAGAAGAGCAGTCAGTGCTTTTAACCGCTGAGCTATCTCACTAGCCCTTCATGAGATTATCTCAAAACTTGAGAGGTAGCAACTAGCAGATTTCTGTGAGTTTGAGGCTAGCCTGGTCTACATAGTGAGTTTCAGGCCAGCCAAGATCTCAAACAGGGAGCTCCTGTTTTTGTTTTTTTGTTTTTTAAAATAATACACACACACACACACACATACATATATTAAGGCTGGAGATGGGCTGGAGAGATGGCTCAGCGGTTAAGAGCACTGACTGTTCTTCCAGAGGTCCTGAGTGTGGGGAACTCCCATGAACAGACCACCTGCTAGGAACAACCAGCATGCTGGATCTGAGCCCAGAGTCAAGACTCAGGGACCACTTGATACTTGAGGACAACAGCTCCAGGTCTGACACAGGTCTGAATGTTCTCCCCTTCCAGGTGATGTCCTGGAAACCCAGGGAGCTGAATCCTGGTTGGTTTTTTGTTGCTGTTTTGTTTTGTCTTCCCCTCCTCCCAACTCGATACATCTCAGAATTATCTGCCAAGAGGAACTTGAATTGAGAAAATACTTCTCACATATTGCTAGTAGGCAAGTCTGTGAGGGTATTTCTTGATTAAAGATTGATGGGACCCAGCTTAGTAGGGACAGTGACACCCTTGGGTAGGTGGTCCCAGGCAGTCGTGAGAAAGCAGGCTGAGTAAGCCAGTAATGGCATTTCTCTGCGGCCTCTGCTTCAGTTCCTGCCACTAGGTTCCTGCCTTGGTTCCCTTAGTGGACCCTGACCAGGCATATGTAAGCCAAATAAACCCTTTCCTCCCCAAACTGCTTTTTGTCATGGTGTTTTATCAGAGCAATAGAAAACAAACTAAGACAGACAGACAGGCTTTGGTAGATGATTAGATCTTACTTTATAAATAGTGCCTAATATCCGCTGATTTTAAGAGATCCAGGACAGGACTGCGTATGTTTGTCATCCTGAATCACTCGGCTGTTCTGAGGCTCCAGGATGAGGAGATGGGGAGAACCCTAAGACTCTGGCCTTAGCCCCTGGCTAAGGTGTCTCCAATTCTAGCGCCCCGCAGCTATTCCTCCTGCCTTGCTGTGCCAGACCTGGGGTATTAACAGTAGTAGACTGTGCAGTGGTGAGGCGGGCTCTGCTCCCGCCCCATCCCTAGGATGCTCCGCCTCCGACCGCGCCCCGCCTCGCCCCACCCGGCCGCCCTCTCTTGCCCGTTGTTCAGCCCCGCCCCGAGCCGCGCCCCTCCGCCGATGCTCGCTCACTCACCGCCACCTCGAGCGGGGCCTGCCCTCAGGCGCTGCCGGCTGCACACGGCCGCTGGAGGCTGGCGCCCTCCGGTCACTTCGGGACCCTCCCGCCGTATCCCCCTGGGCAACTGTCTCCAGGGAGACGGAGCCCGCCCCTGCCACCGACACCGGGTACGAAACCCACCTGTGCGGGAGTCTGTGGGGTCCCTGTGTCTCCCCTAACTGGCCAGATGCTCTGCTCCGCCTAACACCGGGCTTTGTGGGCCTGGGTTTGGGTGGACAGGGTGGGAGTTCATCAGGGTTCCAGGGTGGCGGAGCTTAGGAGAGGCAGGAGCATCCAGAGGCGACAGCACCCCACTGGAGAGGCCGATTCATACACAGTGTCGAGCCTGCCTGGGATTCCCTGGTGTGTGTGTGTGTGTGTGTGTGTGTGTGTGTGTGTTGGGGTAAGTGCCGAGTTGCATCTTTTTGTGACTCTCTAAGGATGAGATCCTGGGTGTGTCTCCTGCTGCCCTTGATGCCGGACCCTCAGTGGGCTCCCGAGCAGGATGCGCTTCGCTTAGGAGGACAAGCTGTTTACTTCTTTGGAACCGAAGCAGTTCGGTGCGCGCTCCCCGGTCCACCCCCTCCCCCTGTCCCCGATTCCCTACCCATCAGTCGGCACGCTCTCGCTCCCTCCCTAGCTTCGCCCTTGAACCAAGAGGGGCTAACCAAAGTCATACCCAGGCTCCGAGATCCTATGCGTCTTCCGTTGTGGGACTTAGTCCTTCCTGACTAATCCCGGGTGCATTTTTTCCTGGCTCCCTATCTCCCGCCCTGAATTCCTGAGGATGCGATCTTCTGGGCTCCATCACGCTTTCTGCTTTGTCTTTCCCATTTTCAAAGCGCGTTCTTTCTGTACTTACTTCGTTTCCCTGTCTCTGTCCTAAAACTGTTTGCCTTGCTCTCGTAGTATTGTTATTATCACTGGTGTGAGTTATTTCTTCTTTGAGTCCTTGACCCAAGCCTCGGGCGGCTCTGCTGATAGTTTTCTTGGAAAGCCCTAGTAGTCCTCCCCAGTTGCTAAACCGAAGGGTGTATCCACACCCACCTGCCCAGGGTCCTGCTGCAGGGTTCAGAGCTTGCTTCCAGGATCTGGTGTGGCCGGCTAGAGGACTTCAGCTTGCACCCTGGGAAATGTGTGTCTATAGTATATACACTATTTCCAGTGGACTCCTAAGGGCTTTGCTTTTGTCTTGTGGAGAAGCCAGTAATTAGTGGATTGTCTTGTGCGTCTTCAGCAGCCCCTCCCACTCTACCTAAGGGAATGCAGGCTCAGGCCACCCCATTGTACAGGTGCCCAGGAGCAGGGTGTCTGTTATTTCTCTCTTAGGAGCCGGTTATTTCTAGGTGTGCCCAAGGTGGAGAGGAAGGACCCCTCTTCTCACAGCTGGCCTTTTCATCTCTAACCCAACAGGGATGGGTTTCCCTTTAGACTTGGCTTTGGGGACTCAAGGTCTAAAGTGCATGAACCTACTTCATATTTTTTTCAGCAATGGAACTCAAACTTAGCATGGCTCAGGTCAATTAACTTTGCTTTCACAAATCCAACCAGCAGCCCTAAAAGATCACCTGAGCATCTGTGTACACCCCTGCTTCAGGTCTGGGGATGCCCCTGTGGTTTGCTTCCATGCTATCAAAGGGAACTGGGGTGGCGTTCACTCAGGTAGCGAGAAAGACTGACCCAGCAAATTACAAGAAGAGAATCTGAGATGAAATGGTGCTTCCTTCAGTGCTGGGGGCTTTTTGCATGTTAAGCAGGCGATACCACTGAGCTACACACTCAGTGCCCTGAGATATACCATCAGCATGTACTGGATTCTGAAACTCGGTGTTTAAAGTGTTCTTTCCTCTTTTCTTTCTTTCAGACATATAAGGAGCTGAGAGCCAGGCAGAAGTGGGGTGAAGCTCACTGATGGCAAAGCACCTTTAATCTCCCAGACAGAGGGGCCTTGGCTGGTGGCCCTTCTTGGCCTCTCCCAAAAAGGTAGGTTGGGGGAAGGGAGAGAGATGTAGAGGAAAGAAGAGAGACTGTATTACAGATAGGAATTTTGAAGAAAATCGACCATCTCTGACTTGTCCATGAGACAAGCATTCTCAGAGGAAGAGAGTGGGGGCTGGGGAATATAGCTGGGTAGTAGCATTGAGTAGGGACTTCTGTGTCTACAGAGACTGGGACAGTCACGAAGCTAAGGTAGGATGCTCTTTTGAGTTTCTGGGCCATTGCTGTACATTTGAATACTGGGTCTCCAGTTGGTGGAACTGTTTAGAAAGGATTAGAAGGTGTGGCCTTGTTGGAGGAGTGTGTTGCTGAGGGAGCCAAGGCTCCAGAAGACTCAGACCATTCCTAGTGTCTCTTTCTATTGCTTCGTGGTTATATCTTAAGAGGTATGGCCTCAGCTTCTCCAGCACCATGTTTGCCTGCCTGCCACCATGTTCCCCACTATCATGGTCATGGACTCTAACCCTCTGAAATCATGAGCCCCAAATAAACTCTCCTGTAACTTGCCTTGGTTATGGTGTCTTGCCACAGCAATACAAAAGTGCCTAAGGCACCTCCTATCCAGTAGTAAGCAGCTGGGTGGGTATTGAGCTGTGTGATGGGGAAGTCTGGGGTCCCCTTGTTGTTTTTGTGGGTACATGATTATTGTGTGTGCATGGAGAACACTCTGTCTGAGCAGCTGTTGTCTTTTCAAGTAGAACATGGCAGGGCCAGTGTTCCGTGTTCCCAGCCTCCCTCTCAGCCTCTCTAGGTCTTGTGCTTGCCACACCTCTTTGTTGTGGATCTCTTTCAAAATAAAAATATTAAGCACCTCTTTCTTTCTTTCTTTCTTTCTTTCTTTCTTTCTTTCTTTCTTTCTTCTTTCTCTTCCTCCTCCTCTTCCACCTCTTCTGCCTTTTCCTCCTTCTCTTCCTCCTCCTCTTCTTCTTTTTCTTTTCAGTTTTTCGAAACAAGGTTTCTCTGTATAGGTCTGGCAGTCCTGGAACTCCCTTTGTATACCAGCCTAGCCTTGAACTCACAGAGAGCCACCCTCCTCTGCCTCCTGCGTGCTGAAATTAAAAGTATGTGCTGGCACCACCCAGCTTTAAGCAAAGTGTTAACGTTGGAAGACATAGAAAGAAACAGAACTTTTCATGATGGAAACTTAGTTTTCAAAATGCCTTAAGTTAGCCGGGTGGTGGTGGCTCATGCCTTTAATCCCAGCACTTGGGAGGCAGAGGCAGGTGGATTTCTGAGTTCGAGGCCAGCCTGGTCTACAGAGTGAGTTCCAGGACAGCCAGGACTACACAGATAAACCCTGTCTTGAAAAACCAAAAAAAAAAAAAAAGCCTTAAGTTTTTTATGTGCATTATTATTGTGTGTGTTCAGGCACACTTATGCCATGATGGTGTCTGTGCAGAGGTCAGAGGACAATTTTGTGGAGTTGTTTTCTATTTTCTCTTTATGTGGGCTCAGAGGAGTGAACTCGGGTCACCAACCTTGCACAGCAAACACTTATACGCATCTCCATGGCCCTGGAAATACCCTTTAATGGTAACTTTAATGGTAACTGTAACCTTTATTCATAAAGAATTCAAATTTTAAAAAAAGATTTCTTTTTATTTTATGTATATGAGTGTTTGCCTGCATGTGTGTATGTGCACCATGTGTTTGCAATGCACAGAGAGGTCAGAAGGGGGCATTAGATTCCCTGAAACTGGAGTTGTACATCTTCTGGGAACTCTACAGTCATTACCGTATGTACTTAAAGCAGCTGTGGATGCTCACAAAGAATGAGCCGGTCGGTCTGTGGCTAAACATGGCTAGAGGAAAGGCTCAGGGCTTCTGCCTCTCACTGTTGGACTCTTTGCTTCTGGTAGATCTAGGAAGAGACCACTAGACCCCATTGAGTAGTATGGTCCTGGTTAAATTAAACGGATCGGGGAAACAAAACCAAAAGTCATGAATCAGGCAAAGGGGCTGGTAGGGAGGAAGGGAGCTGATAGACTCGGGGGAGATTTAAAAAGTTGAAAGATGGATAGGGAGGAACCTAGACACTTGCGCACAGAATGATGGAAGCTTGGTGGCTTGACTTCCACCCAGTTACCAGACAGAGCCTTGCAAAGCTTCCGAGGAAACTGATCTCACAAGAACAGCCACCATCAATCCTGACATTGGTTTCTGGCTCGTGTAGCCCTTTACAGTGAGCACTACCAGTGTGCAAACGGGGTTAGTGGCTGTGGTGGCATGACTCTGAATTGTCACACTCGGTATCCTGTTTCAAATGTTTGTCCCCAAGAGGTGGTACACTTCTGGGAGGCTGCAGAAGCTTTGGTAAAGTAAGGCGTGGCAAGCAGAAGTAGGTCATCGGGATGAGCGTGGTATCCCTGGTTTGTGCTGTGCTGTCTACTTCTTGGTCTGCCATGATATGAACAGCCTCTGTTGCAGACTCCTACAAGCCACAAGCTAGCTCATCATGGCCGTGTCTGCCCGGCAGTGATGGACTGAGAACCCTGAAACTGTGAGCCAAAAGAAGGCTTTCTTTCCTAAGTCATTTCTTTTTTTTTTTTAATAAATAAATCTCCTTTTAAAATTTATTTTATGTACACTGTAGCTGTCTTCAGACACACCAGAAGAGAGTATCAGTTCCTGTTACAGATAATTGTGAGCCACCATGTGGTTGCTGGGAATTGAACTCAGGACCTCTGGAAGAACAGTCAGTGCTTTTAATCACCGAGCCATCTCTCCAGTCCATAAGTTGAGTTATTTTGTTACAGGGAAGTAGAAGTAGCTGACACAGTGCTCTTACATTTGACCTGGCAACCCTGGATGGTCCTACATAGTTAAGGTCTTAGCAGGGATGACCCAGACAGACAGAAAAAGGAAACCAGAAGTTACCACGTTTTTTTGTTTTGTTTTGTTTTTAAAGGATAGACAAAATGTGCTTGCACATTAAAACTAAGTTAGCAGGGGCTGAGCTATAGCTCAGTTGGCAGAGTACTTGCCTAGCGTGCACAAAGCTCTGGTGCAACCCCAAATGCTGCATAGGTTAGGTGTGGTTGGGGTCTCCCAGCACTTGGGAGGCAGGAGAATCACAAGTTCAAAGTCGGGTGGTGGTGGCGCACACCTTTAATCCCAGCACTTGGGAGGCAGAGGCAGGAGGATTTCTGAGTTCGAGGCCAGCCTGGTCTACAGAGTGAGTTCCAGGACAGCCAGAACTACATAGAGAAACCCTGTCTCGAAAAAAACAAAAAAACAAAAAAACAAAAAACAAGTTCAAAGTCATTCTTAGCTTACATAGCGAGTTCAAGGTCACCTTGAGATTCTGTCTCAGACAAACAAACCTGTGTTATCAGAAATAATGGTTTTCTTTTAAAGGTTATTACTTTAATTTTAAAGACAGGGGCTCTTTGTATAGCTCTGGTTGTCCTGGAACTGTATATAGTCTAAGATAGTCAAACTCAGAGATCCACACCTCCCAAGTGCTGGAATTAAAGGCGTGCAGCACTGCTGCTTGGCATTGTTGTTATTTTTAGACTTTGTGTACATGTATGTCTGTGTGTATGTGTATGTATGTGAGTGTGACGGCCTACCATGTCAGAAGCTTCAGATCCCGTGGATCTGGAGTTAAGGTGGTTGTGAGCCTCCTAAATATGGGTTCTGGAAGCCAAGCTCTGGTCCTTTGCAAGAACGGCAAGTGCTCTTAACCACTGAGCTATCTCTCTAGCCTCTGGTTTGGATTTTTTTTTGAAAGAGGGTCTCTTTATATAACTCTGGCTGATCTAGGAATCACTATGTATATCAGTTAGCCTCGAACTTGGGACAGTCCTGTTATCTCTGTTTCCTGAGGGCTAGGATTACAGTTGTGCATCTCTGTGCTTCACCATACAGCCCAGGCTGGCCTTGAACTCATGACCTTCTTGCTTCAGCCTCTTTGGTGTTAGGGTTACAGGTATGTAAAATCATGCCTGGTTCATTTAAGGCATTTTTTGAGATGTAAATTTTTAAAAAAATATGACACATACCTTTTTATGTCTTTTTGAAGAAATGGAGGAATGTCTTCCAGGAATGTAAGAAACAGAGATGGTGAGCCAGGTATCATGCCTGTATCTCAATATTGAGCAGGCTGAGCCTAGAGGCCAACCTGGGCTACAAACCAAGAAGAAAAACTGAAACCCAAGTGGATACAATGTACAACTGTGTCTACTTCTCATTTGGCTTGTCTGGCAAATCGCTTTCAGTGTTTCAAGTGTTCTCAGTGTTTCGAGTCTTGGGAATGACTGGAAAACAACACTATGTTAAGCTTTGTTTTCAATTACTATAACTAAATGCCCGTGGCAGGCTGCTTACAAAGAAACGATGTTTTTTCAGTCTGTTGTCTTGGGGGCTGAAAGTCCAAGGTCCAGTGGCTCAGTTGTTGCTTCAGCCTCCAGACCTATTGCTAGATGGCTTTGTGGCAGGAACCAGAGAGCTCCTAGTACTGAACTGGAGGCCAGAGGAGGGCAGGGGCTAAGCTCACCTTTCCTGGTCATTTCCCTCCCCGAGGATCTAGGGCTGGTCACCTGGTTTCCTGCCTCAGGGTCTTCATACTGGTCCCTGGCTCACCACCTGGTCCCTGTGGGGCCTATCTTTGCTGGATCCTTCACTCACTGGAGCCTATGCTTCAGTGTGGCCTCCCACATCCACAGACCATGTCCCCTCCACCCCCCACCGTCCCCCATCCACAGGACACCTCCCTACAAGTCCTTTTTGTTTCAGTCTAGCTCTTTGGCTCTATGAAATCATCTTGTTCATTCTGTTGCCTTTTGATTTTCTGTTGCCTTCTCTCATTAGACTAAAAATTTTCCCTAAGAGCAAGGGTGATTGTTTTCTGTCGGCTTCCTGCTGACCGTATTAGTAAGTGGTTAGTGAGGACGAGCCGCGGGGCATGGGTCTTCATGGCACCCTTCTGGGGACCTCAAGGTGTGTGTCTTGGGGGCTTTGGACTTTCCTTGGCATCCAGAACA